ATGTAATAAACGTAAAACAACAAATGACCTGGTTTTATAGGGTGAAGTTGAAGCGTACGTTCTACAACCGCTTGGACTACTTTTCAGATCTGCTGCAACCGTATTCCGAGTATCCGTTCTACGAGGTTCTGTTAGAAGGGAAAATATAGGTTCCTGTTAGTTAAGTCAAGCAATATTTAAACACGATCGTCACTCCCAATTTCGTCCTTCATTTCACTAATTTTAAATTCTGTCAGTTTAGAATAATTAAAATAAATTACTTTTAAATTGTGATGAAACAGCACAGAAACCTTACCAGCTTGACATCGAGTGTTCCCCTTCTCAGGGCTCATGATGGCTCGCTGAATTACAACACATTCAGCGACCAATAGACAGACATACCTGAAACAATCTAGGAGTATTCAGAATGATTCTTCCAACAGCTCAAGATAAACAATCAAAAACAATTACTTAGCTAAGGTCCATACTATAAAGCTGAATAATATCCACAACCCTGTAACCTCTGCTTAACAACCACTTCCCCCAACTGATAGCACGCCTCATGCAACTTCTGCTAAACAGTCCCCGCTTAACACAACGCATTTGCATGCTATGCAATACAATGACAATGGTAAATGCCACCTGCGTTGCGTGCACATTTCGCTTTAGGACCAACGCGCTCGCGTCAAATTTTTGAGCGCGTTCTTTCATTTTAATTGTTTAAGGAAAATCTTTGGTACAACAATATGCATGCTATACGCCAAGATACAATCACGCTACTATGTATGAATACATAAATGTGCGTATGTTGCTTTTTAATTCGAGAATATCTACTGTTTGTCACCTTAATTCCTTGGTGAGCAACAAGGTCATAGTTTAATGATTGAAAAACTTTTACTTTCGCCCCGAAAAACGTAGCATGAGGGAGGGGAGGAACGAGGTTTAACGATACTAGTAATCTAAGCGCCACAAAAAGCCGTGCGCGATTCGTGATCGAGTATAGGGCACTTTTAAAGAATAAAATTAACCCATTGAAGCATAAAGTTATGTAGTGCAAGCGATGAGGCTGACCAGAATGATTTAAGAGTACAGCCTTCGACGGCGTTTTCAGCTTCACTGCCGAATCTTTCCTTTTAAAGTTGCAGTGAATTATTGTTCCAGCTGATCTTGATGAAGGAAACGGGGCGACGCATACCATTGCCGATACACTTCCAAATCACAGTTCTTGAGCTATCTTCTATCGTGCAGAGCGTTTGAGAGCATTAATTTGAATCTATCATTGGGAATCAAATGGGTTACAGGATGTTCTGATCAACGTAATCACTTATTGCCTGTGTTTTAATAAGTTCCATATCATTCTAGTCACTAGTTGTGTCGTGCTAAACTGATCCGGATTGGAACAAACTGTGCGATGCAATCTAGTAGCTTACTTAGAGAAAAAGCAAAAGTTCTCCTGAAAAAAACGAAGAGTAATGCCACCATGGTCATATATTAAACCGGCCATATATTTCAGAATTTTTCCAACTCCAATCAACGGTTTGCTTAAAATTTGTTGAAATTCTATGCCGAAAGCTATTGATTGTAACTGCGACAACGATAGTGTTTGTAAAAAGGATTCAAATGAAAAGTTGGGATTTAGATCTTCGAAATCTTTTTTTATCATCAAACTTTTGTTAAAAATCGTTCTACCGATTTAACAAAAGTTAAAAATCGGTAGAACGATTAGAAGATGATATGATAGAATTAGAAGATGATATGATAGAAATTGGATTTTTGATGTTGAAAATAAATTAGTATGCCAGGACTTTTTTCCACTGTGAAATTGAATTTATTTTTTGACTTCGTTAACTATATCAAAAATATTCATGAAGCCTTAGGAAGAGTAATATTAATTAAGGGAACATTTGCTTATTTCATCTCTCTAAGATGTATTAGAAATGAAATGTTAAAATAAATTCGAAGAAAAAAAACGCTATACTCAGAGAACTCCGCTTGCTGTATCTAATATTTTCTGAAGCAGAGTGCTTAAATTTTCATCATTATTTGGAACTGAGTATATCCCTTTCAGTTTACATCTTTCCTATAAGTTACACAACTTGTAAAAGCTCAGTTGCCATGCAGATCCATTAGTCATTTCTTGAACGGCGACACTCGTATGGTTTGCTGTAAGAGAGGAGACGCTCCTTGGCAAGTATCTTCTTTGAAAAGCTGCGAAGTCGAAAAAGGAAGCAGACTTGTCACTTATACTTCAGGTGTTTTACGCTCAAAACAAATAGTAGCCATGTATTTTTCCTTCTTTCTCTCTTTTCCTCTCCCTTTTTGTTCAGCTCTGCAAACAAAATGAGGCATTTCCATGGTTTCCTTTTCAGTATACACACCGCTCCATTCCTTTTGCTCCTCGGTCTTTGAAGCATTTCAAAGATTTTTCTCCGATCATTTATAAATTAAAACAATGCAGTAATGGATTCATTATGAATTGGTCACTGCATTTTTTTGAATTTTTCTTGTGTTTCGGATACTATCACTGCCTTTTGACCCGTACTTCTTTCATCACCAGTTGCAGATTCTATTTTTAGCGATTTTATCGTGTTGTCGCAAATCCATGTAAGTATTCTGAATGTTTAGTTAATCTACCAGGAAACTGTGCTTCATGTTTCTGCTTTCAATGATTTAGGAAAAAACTATGCTAAGCATTTATACATGAAAGGCAAAACGTGTGATATGATCTTCTTATACAAATTTCAACATTTTTCACATTAGCAACAAATAGTGGACAGGTCAGAAAGAGAGAGAAAAGCAAGTCATTTTATTACTATCCTTATTTATTGCGATCCTCATTTCCTGCGGATAAAATGTCCTTCTGTTTTTGACCAAAAATTTAGAACCACTACCAATGGATGCAGCCGACCCTTTACTAAACAAACTTTACATAAAAAATCGCTAGCGAAGAATTTCAGTACTACCAAAAGAATTGAGAATAAAGGAACAAATTTTATCGATATCGGGTGTTTAATGAGAAAACGTTCTGAACCAAAAAAAAAAAATTTCTTTTGTAATGATTAACCTTAACATATCAAAAGGCAAAGCCAGGAGGAGCATTTTACAATTTAATAACACAAATTAGAATCTTTCAAAAAATTTTGGTTCACTTTACCAAGATTCCCTTGTAAATTTAAAAAACAATTTGCTGAAATTGATGGAAATTTCCGTGTCACTATTCCAAGGCTTTTGAATTTTTCTTGAAAATTAACTCTAATTGTAATTCATGCAGGTTCTCTCTTGAGATAAACACCTCTTTTATCGGTTCCACAATTTTTTTATCAGTTTCTTTTTCCTGCTACGATTGTCCACGATGAATTTATTATTTTATAAATCGTACTTGCAACTTGAACATTTCGAAAGGTATCACTTGAAAGGGTTTTTTTTATTGTAAAAAATTTATCTCTTTTCAATATCTCTGCACTTGAATTTGCGGTTGTTCTCATTAGTTGTTCCCACTAATTTCATGCAATAGAAATGCTCAAAGTTTGTCACGTGTTCAAAATTAAATTTACCTCAAATTCTTGGAAAAAATATCCTTTTTCGGTAAATTTAAAGATTAGCGAAAATTTTTTGAAAACTATTTTGACAAGCAAAATTTAACGTTGTCAAAAAAATTTAAATTTACCTTATTTGGCAAAGCTGTTAGTTTAAATATATACTAATTTCCTTTCTTTGAAAAAACGTGGCTTTCTCGGCAGCTTAAGCAGTCAGAAGTTTTACTTTCGATGTGAGCCCAATCATCACGCTACCACAATGTTGTTCAAAAAATTTTGATTCACAGAATTAAGGCATTACGGAGTTATTTACTTTTCAGATTGATAATTTCCGGCTACATTAATTGGTCGGATTTCAGTTTTATGATATGGCCCAAGTTCACATGATGGCCTTTATCTCTTACACCTGGAACCTACCAAGGCAAACTGCTGGCTGTTGCATAATACGGAAGAAAATTTTATCAGAAACAAGGGTGGAGAAAGAGTTACTAGAGGCACAATCATTATCGTACAAGGTTTCTAGCAATTACAACGAGGAAAACTGCAGTAGCAGTGAAAAAAAAAAAACAATGACATTCGCAAAATCTGTTATGCTATCCTCTTATTTTCTCATATGCGTTTAACAGAATGTTTTTTTCCTCAGATTTGGGAGAAATGACTTGAGGATCTTTCAGATCATCCTCCTTGTATCTCTTGTTATCATCACCAAATACATAAAATCTGATCCGATCTCTTTGATGCAATGCTAAAGTAGCAACGAGTTTTGGTTCTTGAGTACAATAAAACTCTCTAACCTTCTAGCAAATTCAGAAAGCGATTTCATTCAATATCTCTGAGGGAACTGTTTACAGCTTGAATTGCATAGCCTCAGCCGATTAACGCGGTGGTGTCTTCTGCATAAACTAGTCTAGCCAGGCAATGTTTTGGCTTTTTAGGTCATATAATCCCTTTTTAGCTTTATGTTTCGGTAGTTTTACTGCCGCTCTGTGGCTGTATTGTAAATAACTTGGAAATAATTCACAGTTGTGAAAAATTATTGACAACAAACAAAATATTTTTATTCCCCCTTCCTTCCAGTCCTTTTTGATATTTCTCTCTTTTTCTTGTAACTTGCTTTCACATTTTTTATGATATGAAGGATTTATGGAAGCGAAACGGAAGGGTTGGCTGTAGTAAATGCTGCACGGAGGAATTAATTTGGTTGCATTATTTATGCAAACATTGGTTTAAACAGTTACAAAAACTGATATATCCTCGCGGAGTGTTCACAAACATATTGTAACAGTCAGTAAAAATAATGAAAAAAAAACGAGAAAGTTATAGGCTAGCTGGTCCTTAACGAACGATAACTCAAGTAATTAGATACAGTGAAACATTAGCAGATACGATTGATTACTTTTGCCATAGCGTAGAGCACATAAAATCGTTTATGAATAGTAGGAATGGAATATAAATTTTAATTAGTAACGGTGTCATCTTTCTGGAAGATATGGAGATGAGACAGACACGATTTCGCTTGGTTGTGTTGGGTCCTGGGAAAGTGGGAAAAACATCAATCATTCGGCGTTATCTTCATGGAGCTTTCGATGAAAAATACAGAGAAACCGTTGAGGATCTTTATTCGAGAAATTTCAATATACAGGTTTTTGCTGGTTTTAGTTAGTGCTTGCTTCATATTCCAGTAATCTCATGGATTTCCTTTTTCTAACTCGTTTTTTCGGATAATGAAAATCATTATGTTGAAACAGGAAATAGAAATATCACTGGAAATTCTGGACACAAATTTCGATTATCCGGGCATGCGCAAAATTGCGATAGCATCTGCCAATGCATTCATGCTTGTTTTTGCCGTCAATGATGTGGCTAGTTTCAAGCAGGTTCTTATGATTTCAGTTAAAATTCGTCATACCCAGTGCATTATGGAACATTTTATATAAGGAAAAGATCTAAAAAAGTTTTTTCTTTTTCCATGATTCCCAAAATCATAAATTCAGATGAGTGACATATGGTCACAGATTGTGCAGCAACGAAAAGATGCTCGAACCCTTCCAACTGTTATTGTCGGGAACAAGTGCGATTCATCTTCTCAAAAAGTATTTAAACTGATGGCATCAATCAGTAATATTATTGTCTCCGAAAGGTTTTCAGTAATTGAAGGAAAATCCCTAACATCAATGCAGTATCGTTCAGTTCTCTGAAAAAGGCGATTTAGGTCTATGAAGCAACAGTTCGAGCATGGATGCAACGTTCAAATTTCAATATAAGTTATGTCGAATCCTCTGCAAAAATGAACTATAACATAATGAAAATATTCCGAAATTTTCTGGATCAAAGTCGTTTGCTGGATGAAGAAGTGAGCTAGTGATGACAGTTTCTTTATTCTGTCAAAATACTTCTGTTGTTTGTGGTCCAGAACATTTCAATATATTTTTTATGGATTCAGTATTTTCTTATACTTGACCGTTGAAATGATATACAAATAAATTGAGAATGATTTACAAATAAACTCACTTGCTCACCTTATTCTTGTTTTGGATTTTAAAAGACTATTGAACATCTTTCTGAAATGCATTCTATTATTCAGTTGACTTGCAATAAAATGATGCTTATCCCTTTCGCTTTTATACTCTGTTCTTCAGCCGTCTTCAGTGTATCAGAATCATAATTTAGAAAATGATGAATATTTGCAGAAATTTTTTCAGAAGTGGGCAAAACAGCAGAAATTGCAATCCCATGAAATTTCGCCAATAAAGAAGCTTAATCGGAACTGGTCATTACCGGTAAGTACTATTGCTTTATAGCCTAATCGGATAAGGTAAATACTAAGAACAATTTCCAGTTTTTTTAGGACATAGGTATAAATTTTAAAGCAATTTTATTTTGATAGTTTCAATATTGAAAGTCGGGAAGTCGGAATGAAAAAGTTTGCTCTAGACGAAACAGGTAGAGTGACGATGTAGTTTATTTTTCAAAAAGCTCTTCGTCTTAGTTAATCTACGTTAGGTTTTTCTATAAATTCGAAATTGTCTGCTCACAAAAATCCCGGAAATTTATTTGAGCACTAAATAATTATTTTCTAATTTGCAAATTTATTTGTCGTTATCAGACATTGGCTTTTTTCAAAGTGTGTTTCTTCCATACTTGCTACCATTTTTAAACAAATAACTTTTCGAAATTCTAGTAATGTGTGGAAATATATAAGCACCCTACTTTTGGTCCGTGAAGTTGAGTATCATTTAAATTGTTGCTTAATTTAGGATTTTAACAAGGACACTCATTACATTATAATTACAGGTTAACAAAGCTAAAGGTAGCAGTCCAAAGGCTCTTAAACGATCGGGTAGTCTTATACGACGCTCAAAGCATCAATCATTGCGAATGAAATGCCATGATAAGGAAATACCATTAGGTGAAAGCGATTGTAAAATATCATAGTTAAAAGTGCCATTTCTCCAGCTTACTGTAAATATAATCACTGTGAAATGCTTTTTATGTAAATTTCTTTTAACTGACGAATCAATTTTGAAATCCATCCAGATGCGGCAGCTTTAGTTATACTCCCTTATTTATATCTTCACATTAAAGTGAAGAGCTAAAAGAAATACACCTCCGGTGCAATAGAATGATTCCGCAGATGAAATTTTGTTTCCCTCATCTGTTGAGTGACAGTTTTCATTCGCAGGACAAATATTACTCGCACAAAATTTGTTACTCCTTTCTCAATGAAGATTAGCTAATGAATCGATGTTTTCTGATTTTGTATTTGCAACTATTCTGTTAACAGTGTTAGCAGTACAACAAAGATCAAAGACTTTTTTTAGCATACCCACTTCCTTTTATTAGGACTATCCTTAACTGCAAATTTCAGATATAGCAAATGATAACAGGAAGGACTGGAAATGCAAATGAGGCAGCTATTGGAATCAATTAGCAAATTTTGCTTAGTTCGGACTATTTGCAATTTCCCGACGGTATGTATGTATGACGGCATGAATAAATACATTTTGACATTTTAAGGTTTGACGTCCAATAGGCAAACAAACACGTTGTAAACACTGAGTTCCTTTTCACAACCCCTTGTCCATATTTTAAGGAAATCTATTTTCCCTTCTGTAAACTAATTTTTAAGTCGGCACTTGCTGAGCAATACTGAGCAGTACTTCTGTAATAAAGCATTCTGTTCTGGAAGTGCAACATCCCAGCATTACTGATAATTTCTTTTATTTGCAAAACTGGTAAACTGCATAGAAGTTTAACATGCAAATTGATCTGGACGTCAAAATTACAACTGGATAGTTGTTACGAGACGTCCTTCGAGAAACTATAAGCAAAGTGACGAAAATGTAAGGAATGTTGGCCAGTTATAGGCAAGATGAAAGTATTGAACGAACAAATTTAAACAGTTTTCTAGCAAAAATTCTGACGATGCAAATGGTAAAAAATATGAAAGGATTGAAAACTTCTTGAATTGTCTCTCTCTTGATTAATTAGAAGTGTTCGAAGAGCATGATTTGAAAATTTGAAACATGTGATAGTTCTGTGACAACCGGTTTTGTTGCATGGATCAATTTAAATCATAACATGTAGGAATTCAGTGGGAAAACATATAATCATTTCCGCGCTGCAGCAAAATCTTTGATAACAACAGAAGACAATTGTAGACATTTAATTTAGAGTTCCAGTAAGTCATGATCATATCACTGCAGTAAACTCTTTGAAGAATTTTCTTCGTAGTACGACGAATATATGAATGGATTAACGTGATCGGATTCATTAACGCTGTAAGAAGGGATAAATTTGTCGTTTTTTTAGCTGAGTCAAAGCAATGGTCTGTATCTTAAGATGTTCAATTGACAAATTACTTGAAAAAGATAACGTATCAATGAATAAAATAAAATGTAGTAAATTGTTGAAAGGTTGAATTTTATAACTGATCATGTCATATTTGTGGGAAGAAAAATTCCCTGCTATAGCCGATAATTCATTTCTTAAACTGCAGTACACGAAGAAAGGGCAAACGGAGTTAATGATTGTTTTTTATGGTGTCTTTCGTTGCAGCACTTAGAATAATGAATCTTAAGGGTCTATAGTATAATGGAGGAGGGTATGGAGTACTGATATTACTGTCGTGTTGGTATGTGATGAGCGGTGATGCAAAGATGTTTCATTTGTGGGATCGTCATCATGTGCTGTATCGCATTCGATCAAATCCGCGTCATCCCAGTGCACGTAAATAACAGATAACCTCCAAGTAGGCTCCCACAGGATCTTGAATGACCTTAGAAACGGGAACTGAAAGAAAGAATATTATTGTAGAAGGTAACGTGAATTCTCATTACATTTATCTGCATGGAGAAAGGTACAGTTTCGTCCATGCGAATAAAATAATGCATTGAGATGATCTCTAAAGATATAACAAACCAGTTGTCATAATGTCTCAAGTTATGCTAGCTTTCTACAGAGTTGTCATAATGTCTCAAGTTATGCTAGCTTTCTACAGATGAGTCTTCCCAGCATTGGTCGTAGTATGCGCGATATAGTCTACTAATTATTAACTGGTCGATAATACAAGCGATAAATGAGCTTACCTGTCGCTTGCAGGGATGCCGAGTGTAGTGCCACTACGTATGCAGGTGTAAGTGTATGTCAGCCACTGTGTGCACTGCTGTAACTTGATGTACACCCTTCGTCTCCGCAACCGTAGCAGCGACGAAGACAGCGACAGCGACCACGACGATAACGAAGGAGGAGGACAGTGCGGAGTTGCTGCGCACCATCATCTCATCTCATCACATACACATACAGTTTGTCTAAGGGCTGTCACGGTGTGCGGTCATGTGGTCCTCGCCTTTACTATTGTCCCTCACAAGCGTTTTTGGCCTATTAGGTCTGGCGTTGATCACATTGGCTTTGGCTACTGACTCATGGACTGACTATCAGGTATTATCCTTTTCCATTATAATATATAATCATTCTTTATCGATCCAGTCTGTTTTACTACCAAAAATTAATCTGGCAATGACCTTCGTCTTCAGTTCTTTCGTACAGCTCTTCTAAAATCGTTGAATGAGTTGCTATCATTTTGTGTATTTATTGAACTGCTAAGGAGTGCAACAAGAAATGTCACCTAACTTGGTCTAATAATTAATAGTTAATTCGTATGAAAAGTGATGTAAGCTGCTGCACTGATCTAAAAGACCGCATTTCAAATGAATTTTTCCGACAGAAGGTCAAGTAATAAACAAATCTGTTCCATTTCATCCAACTTGAGACTTCATTACGATACTTTGGCCATATCTTTTCCCAACTTAATCCAACATGTGCGGTTGACAAGAATACCAGAGTAACAGTCGTTCATGTTTTCATATACACCATCATTCTATCATTTCTTTCCATCCAGTTTTGTTAATTCATTATTACTTATCATCAAATTCATAATTGGTTTATGTTTAGCCGAAAAATTATATCGTGCTCACTCAAGGGAATCAACATTCTCAACGCTTCATTAATTAGCATGGTAGAAAATTTCTTGTACATTAAAAAGTTTTGTAGCTATATCTTGCATTTGTCAGAGCTAAGGTTGAAATTAACGTCCTAGCTATCCAAAATCCGAAAAAATCACCGATTTTACAATCTAATAGTAACATTTTGTAAAGTATGCTTCATCTAACCGATTTAAAACATAAGCGAGCATTTCACTTATACATAAAAGCGACTGAAAAGCAGTTCATTGTTTGCTAAAAAGTATGTTTAATTATGAAAGAAATTGCTAGCAGCTCCTTTACTTTTTCTTTTATTGCATGAGAAAAGGTAACCAGAAAAAGTTTTTCCGAACGAAAGTGTTTAACAAGAAATTTCTTACCTTTATTTCCACTTATTCGAAACAGTTGACCACCTTTTCATCCATTCCTTAACGTCATTTCTTTATGGGTGTTATCATCAAATCATCATCACTGCATTATCTATGGAAATAGAAGTCACTGAATGATTCATACTTTTTTGTACAACAGTTAACTTCCGCAATATCAAAAAAAATCTTACAATTAATTTCCCAAATGGTCCACCACTGAAAATTCTGTCGGCTTTTGATGAAATATCACTTCTCAAACTTAATATATGGTACAAAATCTTTAGGAAAAAAGATCCGTAATACCGGTTTGCAAAATATTGTAAGAGTAGGACAATACATTTAAATTGTCCGTTTCTCGGTCTAAATTATGGTTTTACCCGAACACGAAGCAGTCTTAGTGATGACAACTTCCAAGACAGATGCATAAGTAGATCCTCCTATCCTTCAAGGAATTGGCATGTTCAGCAATAAATTTTATTTTGGTTAATCAATACTAAGCATAATTGTGTTTCGATGTTGAACATAGATAATATATCAAATTATTGTTAGGTGAAGTGTTACAGGAAAACAATATTGCCTATGAAATACCAGTTCATTAGAAATTGAAGCTTCTAAGAGGAACGTATGAACTTAGAATTAGCCATTGAAAGCAAATTTGTGTATTCATTGTAATTCTGTGATCTTATCTTTTCTTAGGTAACAAAATCCACGAGGATTCTGTTTCAAATTCTTCATCATTGCTTTTACTATGATTCACACAACAAGTTTTCTTTACATGCTGCTTGAAAGTGTCTTCTAGAGTTTTAAGTTCTTCAGTAAAATACCAGCATACTTAACTTCCCTCTTATATTGCACTCAATAAATTTATGAGTTTTCTAGATTTAATAACTTATATAAAATTACACATTTATTTTTGTGTTATTTACCATGAATTAAAAAAATAATTAGCGGTTTAGCCATCCTTTTCAGCACAATAAATTTTTGTTTGTTTAAAGATTTATTTTTCTTAAAAAAAAAATCTTCGAAACTCCGATTAAATTTCTACATTAATGCAAACAATGTTCGTTTTTTTTCAATTCAAAATGAATACTTCAAATGAAATTTTCAGGCAGAAAGGCTCTTACAAAATTCCAAAGAGGATTTTTTGGGAAGGGAGCGGCAACGCAGTAATAACTATCTAAAATGATGGACAAAAATTTTGAAAGGATTCAACTGAGACTAATTCAAGGGAGTATAGGAACCGAAAGTTTTGAATTTCGGGCTTATATATATATATATATATATATATATATATATATATATATATATATATATATATATATATATA